CAAGTTGAATGACAAGGAAGAGGGAGAGAAAGTGAGTGAGAAGAGTGGGGAGAGTAAGAGTAGTAGTGGGAGGTTTGGTAGGGGAAGAGGAGGAAGACAACAATGAGGGAGTAAGAATTTGGAAAGAAATTGTGAAAAGAAAACCTTTATTTGGGTCTTATTCTAAAATTACCTTTATACCCATTTAGTTTTAAGTATTTGTATATTCCTAACAGAGGATATCACTACTCATTCATAACACTAGTGGATAGCAGAGTATTTAACATGGCAAACTCAGGCCTCTTGTGGTAAGTCACTAATTAAGCCACAGTGGGATACGTGAAAAACAACTATATCTCTTAGTAGTTTTCTATATAAAATTTGAGGTACTTAAATCCTGGAAGCAAAAAAAGCAAAAAATAAGGAGAGAACACTCAAAATTATCTGTGTGCAGAGGTTTTGAGGTCCTTTTTTAAGTGGGAAGGCATTAGGAATGTTATGGTTTTAAGCTAAGGTTATGTTTTGTTCATATAATTGTGTCAGCTTAAAGTTTTCTTCTTAATCTTATTAGATATTTTAGGATGGATTTGAATCGACTTGGGTGATTAGGATAACCTCACATGGATTATCTTAGTCAGCACGAATACTTTGGGTTGGTGCATCCCAAATAAACTGGTGTTCCAGATTTTGTCCAACCAGGATCAGTTGATTATCTGAATCAAATCATGATTTTTGTCATTATTTTTTTGTTTGTTTATTTGATGGTTGTATCATTTTCCTTTTTGTATATGATTTTTGTTGCTTGAGATGTCTCCTGTGATGGTTAATGATTTTGCTAGACTATGGTCCACTAAATGCTGTAGTTTCTGTTGGAGGTAGGGAACCGTTGGTGTCATTTTCATTAAGCCCATGGGTGACAATTTGAACCGATGTCATGACACTTGATCAGTGACAAGAACATTCTTATTACTATTTCTTGGCTCTATATGTTTATAGCTTTGTATGCCACAATGTGCAGATATTCTGGTTGAGTTAGAGCAGCTTCTGAAAGGCATTGCCATGATGAAAGAGCTAACACCTCGTACAAGGGACTATCTAGTTTCCTTTGGTGAATGCATGTCTACAAGAATTTTTGCAGCATATTTAAACAAAATTGGTACTAAAGCACGACAGGTATCATAAGTCACACCCTTTAATATTTCATATGAAATGAATATAAGCTCAGGGAATTATAGTAACTGAGCACACTTTCTTGTAAGTTGAAAATGATTGTTAATAGTCGGTTGACCTTTGTTCATCCAGGCATATTCTTGCTAATATTGTTTCATTTGTATCAAGGTTCGTCGTACCGCAATGTATTGCTCGGTATGAGCGGTATATACTGGTACATTTCAGTGTACCATGTGTTAGTATGGCTCGGTATGTATCGTACCTATGATCGGTCAGTACACCGTTATGGACCGGTAAGACAAATCATGATTTGTATAAAGATAACAAACATATTTTTTTAGGCAAAAGGTAAAAGAGATGCTTTAGCTGATCATTTTGACTGATTGCCTGATCTGTTCTTTGTTTCTTTTAACATGTGCTGTTAGTCTTTGGGTTGTTGTTGTTATTAAACTAGTCTTTATGGTTGTTACAGCTACAAGGTCATATTGAATTATTCTAACAAACTCACTGCTTACTTTTGATTGGATATTTTGTGTAGTTTTAACTTTTAATATTACACCTGCATTGGATATTCTGCTAACCTAAATGTATCCGGTCTTCCTAAAATTAGTTGGATATTTACTTATTGGTGTATAGTTAGTAGAAGACCATTTAACGGATGGCTTTTAGCATTTACATTCAAGTCAAATTCTACATTGGATCACTTCATGAACTGCATCTCCTGCCATGGGCTCTAGTAACTACACTAACTGGAAGACTTTTAGAAATCCCAAGCAAGTAGAATAAGCTTACCGCAGTTTGACTTAGATAGGGCTTTTGGCGAGCAATGGGACTTTCCTATCGAAGGAAGAGTTTGATTCTTTAAGCAAGTTGGTATTGGATTCCTCCTTCCTGACCTCAGATTCAAATCATCGAATTGAATTGATCTACTTACAGAATCTTCCGTTAGATTCTATCTTCCTAGCTAGGGTAGGAGAAAGTCTTTCTTTATTCATCCACACTTTCCATGACTTTTCTTACTGAACTTAAAGGAGGGAATGATTCTCTTTCTACAAGTTGATGGCAAATGGAGACTAGACTGAAGGCCATGAAGAGGAGAGGAAGCGGAAGCTAAGAAGTCTTAGCATACAGAACTTTTGTCTTTCTATGAACAGGGTTGGCTGGCTATACTGACACCTGGAAAGCAGGCTAGGTTAGAGTTTTTCTACTTGCTTTATTTGAAGAGGTGCTTAGCACCGATACTAGCCATTCTCTTTCTCCTCTCGAGAGTGCCTTTGCTTGGTCTTGACCTCTTCAGGCACTCCAAGGCTTCTTTCTGTCTTGCTGAACTCCTTCCTCAACTCCGAGACCTTTGCTTCCCAAGTTGGGTTCGACTATGAAGAGAGGTGGGTGTACCATGTAAAGGTTCCCCTCCGATGGTTGTACAAAGAGCCTAAGCCAGAGTGCCTCATTCTTCCGGCTTACATCTACACCACTAATTCAGCATCTAGGAGCCATCACTTTGTTACAATGTTAAATCTTATTTCAAGAGAGATTTTGATAGAACCTAACATTTTGTTGCAAGACATTCCTTAACTGTTTAAGCTCACCCAGCCCTTGAGCAACCATTTACCAGTTACATGTCTGAAAAGTGGAGCATAAATGAGTGTCATTGATATTTAATGCACTAGTAAATTAAAGGTCACATCGCAATAATTTCCACAATCATTTAGTCTTCCAAATATAATAGTTGAAATATTAAGAGTCAAAGATATTCGCGTAAGTTACCAAGAAAGCCAGGAATCTGATTGAAATTCTTGCATGCAAAGAGAAATGGTTTGATAGCTCCAAACTATTGAAGGAAAATCTAATGATTTTTTTCCATATGGTTATATTTAAACTTTGCTTAATGAATTGTTGTCAGTACAACAATTCATTTTTGGGAGTTTAATTTTGAGATGTGACTTTGCTTCATGAAGTATGTGATAAGTTAGAGATAAGAGATCTAATCTATTTCATCTAGTCCTATATTTGCAATTTGTTTCTGATCAATAGAGGAGCTACTTATGTGGCTTTTGCTTCTTTTGCAGTATGATGCATTTGAGATTGTTTTTATTACCACAGATGACTTTACAAATGCTAACACCTTGGAAGCAACCTCATGATAATTAATTTCTATATTTGCAATTTGTTTCTGATCAATAGAGGAGCTACTTATGTGGCTTTTGCGTCTTTTGTAGTATGATGCATTTGAGACTGGTTTTATTACCACAGAATCATATATGACTTTACAAATGTTAACGTCTTGGAAGCAACTTCATGATATTTAATTTCTATATTTGCAATTTGCTTCTGATCAATAGAGGAGCTACTTATGTGGCTTTTGCGTCTTTTGCAGTATGATGCATTTGAGATTGGTTTTATTACCACAGATGACTTTACAAATGCTGACATCTTGGAAGCAACTTATCCTGCTGTTGCAAAGAGGTTGCATGGTGATTGGACTAATGATCCGGCGATTCCTATAATCACTGGTTTCCTTGGAAAGGTTGTAGCTATAAGCTCAACATCATGCATTTTGTAGTGCTGACATAATTGTGTAACTGAGATTAAAGGTCTGATGATATTTCTACGATTAAAGGGTTGGAAATCCGGTGCTGTAACTACCTTAGGCAGAGGTGGAAGCGACTTAACTGCAACAACTATAGGTAAAGCTTTGGGCTTACGTGAAATTCAGGTCAGTTTGAAGTATTGAAGTGTTTGAGCATATTGTTGGGATGCTGTATTCTACTTTACCTACTTCACAAACAACACACTCTACTGAAGTTTATTTTAGGTTTTCTGCCATTCTTGTACTACTTTGGCTATTTGCATTATCCATGTAACCTCAGATGCTGTTGGCCATCTGCAGTGTATCAGACTAATATTATTAATACATCTGCAACAGGTTTGGAAAGATGTTGATGGTGTTTTAACATGTGATCCTAATATATGTCCAAATGCAAAGCCGGTTCCTCATTTAACATTTGAAGAGGCAGCTGAACTCGCTTATTTTGGAGCACAGGTATGACTTATTTGTTTGTTTGCAACAGAAGTTTCTTTGGAAATTTGCAGAACTTGAAGGATGCAAAAATTGATACTCAGCTTCACAATTGTAGCAGTTCTTATGGATTTGGATTTCACTGTGTAGCACTAGACCTACATTTAGAGTTTTTTATTACAAATTCAGTTCTATGTTATGGTGCCTCTTTTAAATTGCAAGTGTAGCTACTGTAGACTCTTCATATAAGTTCTGATTCTTGGTTTATTCATTTGACACTATAAGCTATTTTCCAAGTTCAGGTGTTGCATCCCCAGTCAATGCGGCCTGCCAGAGAAGGTGATATACCTGTTAGGGTCAAGAATTCTTATAATCCTCAAGCTCCTGGAACTGTCATCACTAAAGCAAGAGATATGAGCAAGGTCTATAATGAAATACTATGTTTATATTTATTCTTTTGTAGAAGTGATATTGCTCCTAGCTTTGTCATAAACGTTTTTTGTGGATAATCCAGGTTGTACTAACCAGCATCGTGTTGAAGTCAAATGTTACCATGTTGGATATTGTGAGCACTCGAATGCTTGGACAGTATGGTTTTCTTGCAAAGGTAGACTGGTGATCATTTCAGTCTTGGTGGTGTAATCTGTTTCTTGTAAAATTATAGTTTGTTACTTCCCCTTTTGTGTGTGTATTCCCCAGGTTTTCTCTATATTCGAGGACTTGGGCATTTCTGTTGACTGTGTCGCAACAAGTGAAGTTAGCATCTCTTTGACACTGGATCCATCAAAACTCTGGAATAGAGAATTAATCCAGCAGGTCTGAGCTGAATCATTATGATTTTCCACTCAAACCTTCACTTATGTTAAACGAAAAAACAGAGATGGTCTCTATTGCAGAGTATATGCATGTGCCTGCTGAACTTAAAAATGCACAATTTGCTGGCTTAAGTTTAGCCTCACTTAAGTTGTGGTGACTTAAGCATATGAACAAGTTAAGTTTTTCAGATTGAGAAAGGTGTCAAAAGGATACTCCGTTGTTTCTTCAAAAAGCTAGCCATAACGGAATACTTGGTTGTAATTTTTTGTATCAAGGACACTATATTTGTTTGATATCTTGCTCAACTAATCCATCTTGAACAATCAAATGTAGGAACTTGATCATGTAGTTGAGGAGCTGGAGAAGATTGCCGTTGTTCATCTCCTTCAGCACAGATCAATAATCTCTCTTATTGGAAATGTGCAGAGATCATCTTTAATCCTAGAAAAGGTTTGATCCCACTTATTAACTAAAACAGAATTTCTTCTTTTTGTCCTCTCCTTTTACCATTTTATGGACTATTTGCCCACATTTTCCTGGTGGTCTGTAATTATGTTTAGCGACCGCATCATGCTGGCAACAGAGACTAATTAAGCGTATTTGGTCTTTCAGGCATTCAATGTTCTTCGCAAGAATGGAGTGAATGTGCAGATGATCTCCCAGGGAGCATCTAAGGTGCTTTCTAATAACTCTGGTTATGCTTCTTCATAATCCAACAAAAGTGTTCCAAATGTGATGCTTGTTTTCTCGTTACCTTTACCCTACAGGTTAACATTTCCTTGGTAGTTCATGATAGCGAAGCACAGCAGTGCATCAGTGCTTTGCACTCGTCATTCTTTGACAATGGCTTCCTGTCAGAAGTAGAGGAAGCTGCCAGTGTAAACTGATGTTATGCTGTATGCAGTGGTCTTTTGATGTCCGATTCATCCAAATTAACTTGTGGTGCCTTCCTACTAACCCAAAAATCTTCAGGAGAGCATCCAACTTTCATGTCATCACCAGCGGCCAACAACCACGCATTCTTTAGAATAGAACCACTAAATTTAAAATGGACTGTATCTTTTCATTGCACTTATCAAATGCTTTGATTTTTAAGTTAAAATTAAATTGGAAAACTCTTGAAATTTATGCTTTTGTTATTGAAGAACTGATTGCTTTGATAGCATGTTAGAGAGTCTCTTTTAAAAATGGGTGGTCATCAGGAAATCATAAATTAAAGATAATAAAGGAGAATAATAGAGATATTTATATAAAAAATCTTATTAATTATTTCTATCTAAGATTTTTTACTTTCATTATTAAAAGTATTTCTATCTTAATTAGAACTTTAAAATTGGTCTTCTGTCTAATCATTAAATAAATAAAAAAAACTTTAACATCTTCCTATAAATTAAATTTTATAAAAAATATTATAAAAAATCTTGAAGCTCGATGAAATAACTCTTGATAATTCTCTAAATTCACTGATTTCTAGGTCATGCAATTCATAAGAGTCATTCATGAACCAGCTTTTCATATTTCTTGAACCATCTTTGAATCATTATAATTATATATATATATATATATATATATAATTTTTTTTTCAAAAATAAAAAGAATTAACTATTTGAATCAAAATCAGAACCAATTGATTCTAGAACCAATAGTTACCAGTTAAGTTTCGAAACCAAAACTATTCATTTCGGAACCATGGTACTTAAATTCCTGCCATTCTAATAATTGATGTTGCTACGATTCATAAACATTAAATAGTAGAAATAATAGGTATTTTGTCATTTTATATCTTTTTAATACTTATGTTAGCTAATTTAAATATTTTAGGATTCTTTTAGATACTATGTGTAAAGCCACGTACCCACCTCGCATTGGCACTGATGGGACCCACAATGGGGCCTCCACCGCCTGTCCAATCATCACTCCACCCTTCTCGACGAGCATCTATGGGTCGAAACAGAAGCGTTTCCACGCTAAATACGCTTCACATCGAACCGAATGTATTGGAACGAGCGGAAGCGGCGAGCGAGGAAGCCGTCGCCATGTTTCGAGTCACTCGAGCACGCCCTCTCCTCCTCCGGAGTAGAATAATCCCCAGCCCCTTGTCGGACGCGAGAAACCCCCATCTCCGATCCCAAATCCTCCCCCTCTGCGTCTCCTCGGAATCCCCCGAGCATGACTCCGATGTTGACGATCTGGTCCGCGAGATCTCCGCTCTCCTCTTCGGCGCCGGGAACTGGAAGGCCGCCATGGCCGCCTCCGACATCCCCCGCCGCCTTTCCCCGGCCGCCGTCTCCGCGGTCCTTCGTCAGAGAGTCGGCCGGGCGCCCGATCCCAAGCGCCTTCTGGATTTCTTTTACTGGTCCGGGTCGCAGATGGTCTACCCCCACGCCCTTGATTCCTTCGCCGTGCTCGCCGTTGCCCTCTGCGATTCTGGCCTCTTCCCCCTCGCCAATGGCCTCCTCGAGCGAATGGTCAAGACCTGTCCCTCGCCGCCTTCCGTATTGGACAACATCGTTGGTTGCTTCTCCCGCGACCCGCGCTCCAATTCGGCGGTGTTCAGCGTGCTGATTGATACGTACAAGAGGGCGGGAATGCTCAAGGAAGCCGCTGAAGTGGCGTTGTTGATGAAAGGCGGTGCCTTTGCTCCGAGTTTGAGGTGCTGCAATGCGCTGCTGAAGGATCTCTTGAGGGCTAATTCCATGGATTTGTTCTGGAAGGTGCACGATTTCATATCACGGGCGCAACTGGGTCACGATGTCTACACTTTTACTATATTGATCGAGGCGTATTTTAAGGTTGGAAATGTTGATGCAGCAAAAAATGTCTTCTTGGAGATGGAGCAAAAACGTTGTGCCCCAAGTGCAGTCACTTACAACACGCTAATCTGTGGTTTCTGCAGAGTTGGGGCTCTTGGGGATGCTTTTCAGTTGAAGGAGGAGATGGTGAAGAAAGGCTTGGCTGCTGATAACTACACTTACAGTGTTCTCATTAGTGGCTTATGCAAGAACAGTCAGTCAATCGAAGCAAGGAAATTGTTGGATGAAATATCGGTGAGGGGTCTAAAGCCCAATGTATTTATATACTCTTCTTTGATTGATGGGTTTGTGCGAGAAAGCAAAATGGACGAGGCTTTTAAATTGAAGGATGAGATGATAGCTGCAGGAGTGCAGCCCAATATGTTTACATATAACAGTCTCATTCGTGGGGTATGTAAGGCAGGGGACATAGATAAGGCACATGAACTTTTGGAGGAGATGGATCGTATGGGTTGTAAACCAGAGACACAGACTTATAACCTAGTTATTGAGGGGTATTTTAAGGTGCGTAGTCCCCAGGAGGCGCTTAGGTTGCTTGAAGAGATGAAGATTCGGAATGTATTACCTAATTTGTATACCTACAGCGTGATGATTAATGGATTTTGTGTTTGTGGAGAATCGAGGCAGGCTGAGGTCTTGTTGATGGAAATGCATGAAAATGGTTTGGAACCTAATGCTGTCATTTATTCCACTCTCATTTCAGGTCAGTGCAAGGAAGGCAGAATAATGGAGGCAGTGCAGACTTTGGATAAGATGGCTGATATAAACGTTCCTCCAGATACATTTTGCTACAATTATCTCATTATGGGTCTATGCAAGGCGGGAAATCTTGAAGAAGCAAAGAAATACTTTACTCAAATGCAAGAGCGAGGGTTGTCTCCAAATGTGTTCACATATGGGCCTCTCATCGACTGGCACAGCAAGTCTGGAGATATGGATGGAGCAGATGAACTTTTGCAACTGATGGTTGCTCGAGGTATAAAGCCAAATGATGTCATTTTAACAATCCTTATTGATGGTTACTGCAAATCAGACAATGTTGCAAAGGCCTTCTCCACCTTTCACTCCATGTTGGGACATGGTGTGTTGCCAGATGTGCAAACATACAGTGTGCTCATTCAGAGCCTCTCAAAGAGTGGGAAGATCCAAGAGGCTTTCCAAGCCTTTTCAGAGCTTCAGGAGAAAGGTTTGACTCCTGATGCATACACTTATGGTTCACTTATCTTTGGGCTTTGTAAGACAGGCGACATGGTTAAAGCTGTGACCCTCCATGATGAAATGTGTGCTAGAGGTGTTGAGCCAAATATTGTTACTTATAATGCCCTAATTGATGGTTTTTGCAAGTCTGGTAATATCAACAGTGCTAAAAAATATTTCAAGAGCGTCTTAGCAAAGGGTTTGGTGCCGACCAGTGTGACATACACTACAATGATTGATGGAAACTGCAAGGCTGGAAACATGTCTGAAGCATTTGTGTTGTATGAACAAATGCTTTCAAGAGGAATTTCACCTGATAAATTTGTTTATAATGTTCTTATTAGCGGATGTTGCAAGGCTGGTGACATGGAAAGGGCTTTACATTTGTTCAGTGAAGCGTTGCCAAAAGGCTTCGTGACAGTTTTTACATTTAATTCCTTGGTTGATGGTTTCTGCAAGCTTGGAAAACTACAGGAAGCAACTAAATTGCTACAAGAGATGGTGGACAAAGAGGTTATGCCTAATAATGTAACATACACAATCTTGATAGATGGATATGCCAAGGCAGGACATTTGGAGGAGGCATGCCGGTTATTGATGGAAATGCAGGACAGGAATATCGAGCCAAACTGTGTTACCTATACATCGCTTATTGATGGGCATAACAAAATGGGAAACACATCAGCTGCATCAGCATTGTTTGAAGAAATGATGGCAAATGGTATACATCCTGATGAAATAACTTATGGGGTGATGATTCAGGTACATTGTAAAGAAGAAAACTTGGCTGAGGCATTCAAGTTTCGTGATGCAATTATTGCAGAAGGTAAACAATTGAGTTCCGCTACATATGTTGAACTGTTAAAGAGTCTTTGTAGGAGTGAGAAATTTTCTGAAGCGCTGAGTATGCTCAATGAAATGATAGAGAAAGGTGTCAAGCCCAGTTATTCTCAGAGTGTGATGCTAGTTTGTAGCCTTGATGCAGCAGGATTCTCTGATGAAGCTAATCAGTTTTTGAATGTCATGCGATCTAACGGTTGGGTCCCTATAGATGCTTCTGTAAGTAGTCTGACTAATGAAGGTCAAGATGTGCCCAGTATGGAAGTTGCCCGGTAGGCAATCATCTTCCATCAAAGGAATTATGTGATAACAGGAATGAACTGATAACTGAGAGTCATCTGTGAGCCTAACCTCACAAGACCCACATTAAAGATTCGTCTAGCTAATTCGCTGGAGGTCAAGACTTCTTAGTGCTTTTGGTCCGTGTGCTTCTTTGTTGTGATTTTTCTAGTCAAATATCACTCACAACCCATCAAATATAATTGCAATGCAGTAGAAAAAGTTGATAGTGAAGATGTTAGATGCTGATTATGCATCATCTTTTCTGCTTTTCCAAGGCAACCTGCTATTGAAGATGGGTGAGGAGTAAGCATTGATCTCTCGCTGAGTGTGCAACATCGCTTGCTGTTCATGGTAATTAGAGCTTCCAGAACTAGTGAAGATGGAAGGATTTCTAAATCATTGCTTATTCGAATATGCCTTCACTAATTTGGACACTAACGAGCATTGATGTTGGCTTCCAAAATGGCAATAAAATTAGCATAAGATCTCTGCTTATGCAGTGGGATTGCTGTTATCTTTAATTAGCTTACAGGGCAACATTGTTACTCACTGAATGTTGCTGCTTACATCTGAAACCAGATATGATACATTGAAACAGGAGGTTTCAACTACAGCACAGGCAATGTACAACAATGTATGCAACATTTATTTATCTGAAAAATAATCTCCAAAAACATTACCCATGAGTATGTACCTTAGTATGTTTTCCATGAGGTTTATGTCTCCTATATGCTGGTACATTACTTGAGCAGATCAAAGCGATTTTGTTTATTGTTTACTCATCTCTCAATTCATTTTTGCTTTCAGTTTTGATCTTTTACTTACAATTAGTTATTTTGTGGATGTGTTTTTGAGAAAGAATTTTGTCAAGTACATACCACTGGTCAATTAATTGAGCAGACCAAAGTAATTTCGTTTATTGCTTACCTATACTTAAATTCAAATTATTAGAAGAATTTCTGTGCCATCTTTGCTGGGGATGTTAATATTCTTTTTTCTCCTTTTTATCCTTTCTGTTAACTCTATTCAACAATGGAGGTTGGAAAAAAGATGAAATATGTTTATTATTATTTTTTTACCAATTATGCCTCCTTGTATGTCTTCATTAATTTCATGTCAAATGTTATCACATAATCTAAGATGCTCGATTTCAAGTTACTATTAACAGGCTGTTAAATTGATTTAATCGGGATATCATCGATATATACTTTGTGCTAAGTTTATAATTTAAAAGTCTAAAGATTAATACTTAATTTATTTTTTATTACACTTAAAAACATTATATACTGTAGTGATATACCTAACTTTCTTACCTTAGGTTGGAGTCCAAAATGTCATCCCACAAATTTTGATATAACTCACTTTAAGTTTATAATTCAAATTCACCTTACAATTTTACATGCCAAACATTAATCTAATTGATATGATAGCTTAGATTTGCGGATTCAAGACCTTATACTATAACTTGTATATACTTCCTTACTTGAGACTTCCAAATCTCATCTTACAAATCTATACACCTTGATTGGGAGCTACACATTTGTGCATTTGTAAGACCATCCACTGTTTCCAAAGCTCGATCTTCCCCAGATGAATGAATCATATAGGCAAAAAAAAAGGCTTGGTGTGAATGTTTTGAGACAAAATGAACAATTCCTCCAAATTTATACAGTATTTTTTAACAGACATTTCAGTATTTTTTTTGGATAAAAACTCACAAAACAATATAAACAATTGGATCAATCCACCATATGGATCAATCCAAAGGGTGGCTCATAAAATGGACGAGAAAACACATGACAAGCTTTTGTAATGGGCAAATAAACATAATAACTGTTGACGCAATATTTTTAAAATATTAAAAATATATGGTAATTAGCTGAACAAAAAGGAGATACCATAAAAGAAATACCCAAAAAAAGATATTTTCTAAAAATATCATCCAATTTCAAATAGATATTTAATTAGCATATATATATATATATCAACTCTTTCTCAATCGACCTAAATCCGTACATGACTGTCCTATAACATACAATTTTCATAGTAGCTGCTGCTGACAAAAAAATTGGAATCTAATTAAATCCTACTTTTATATTTGAGGCAAACGGAACATGAGACATAATATACTGAATCACCACATTTACTAAAGAGAACAAAGAAATAAAAGAGCATTCATAAGTCACAAGAACAGTTTATAATATGGTCTGCAATACCATAGTTGTCACGATCACTAAGATCACAGCTCACATTTTCCTACAAGAGCTTCATTGGTCAGTACAAATGCATTGATGCAGAATGTCTGTTACAGAATTAAAGAAAAAAAGATAATTAAGCTGAAAAACTTGTGGTTAATTGACTGGATGAGCATGCAATTGAAACATGATCAATATGTAGATGAATAGCTCACATTCTTATTCAAAAATAATCAAAGAGACTCAGGCTTCCTCAAGTGAACACATATATATCACTACTTACCAATATATGTAGCAGAAAGTAGCAAGGATAATAGATACAAGGAAACATCAACTGTTACCTAAGTTGCACTTCTTCCTGTCCAGAAGTACCTGTAAAAAAAAAAAAGCCAAGGAAAACTGCAGCTTGCTTAAACTAATACTATTCACAGAATATATATAGAAATTCCCGATGTCAAAAGAGTCATTGATCAAGATGAACCAAGAAACAAGTGATACGATGATCAAAAAGCATGATTTTTACATAACTCAAACTGCATGTGAATGCATTCAAGACCAAGCAAAAAATAAAAAGGCAGACACATTTTGCACTATACAAGCCCCAGAACATATATGATGCTGCCAAAATCATTGGTTGAAACTTGGAAAGCAGGAATCAACAAGTTTGGGCAATAGTTCATCTGCAGACAAATTTTGATGATGCCAATAACCCAAAAAGCTCATCCCATTAGCTCCTCAACTATCCATTGGATCCTCTAGGACAAAAATATAATGTCTTCATAGTCAATGTCGCCACTTTCTATTGCATACTGTATGGGACTCTTACCATCCTCGTCAGTGGCATGTGGGTCTGCCCCCCTGCATCAAGTAATAATTAATGGTCTATTATCATTGTAATTGAGAATGACAAACTATTCTCATGTTTTAATAAAGAGAAAAAAACCCCAAAATTTGGCAGAAACAGATATCAAAGAAGAGAACATCAGCAAGATAATGAGTTATAAATGAAATCTTTAATGGTTCCGAGCTATTAATATCAGGCATACCCTGCCTGGTATAAATTTATAATTTAAAATTTTCAAGTGTTAGAAGAAGAGCGACCAGACAAGCAGGCATATTTTATCAACCGGTGAAAAGCTATATTATACAAGACTGGGTTTCCAAATACATGCAGTTACGACAAGAGAACAACATAGGCTTAATATGAACTTGGGCTTTATCTACAGGTGACGGGTACAAAAAAGAAGTTGAAATGTTAGGCTTGCAAATGCATCTTGTATCACTAGAGTTTTTGAACAATACCACTACAGCAGTACTCATTTTCGTGACAACTGAAGGATACTTTCAATCCATCTGGTGTTGCTTGTTCACATTTAGTCCAAATAACATTATTTGGTTACAGTCATAATGCTCTCTACAACTAATGTAACAGAAGTGAGAAACAATTCAAGGATACTAAAATTCAGAATATACTTAACCAATGATTGAAAAAAGCGCTCGGGCGCTCGCCTAGGCGCTCGGGTGAGGCGAGGCGAGGCCCGAGCGCCTCGCTAATCTCCCAGGCGGCGCGCTTCAAACAGGCGCCGCCTGGGCGCTCGCCCGAGCCCAGGCGCTTCGGGCGAGCGCCTGGGTAAACCAAGGTGACCGAACCAGGATTTTAGGTCTGGTTCGATCCTGGTTCGGTTGGTTAGTTGGTTCAATCAAACCAACTAAACCGATATAACCCTTACCCAACCCTAACCCGCTACCGCTACCGTTGCTCGCCGCTAGCCACTGCCGCTGTCGCCGCTGCTTCCTCGTTTCTCAGTCAGCAGGCTCAGTATACTATTAATATTAAGTTTATTTGAAATGATTAATTTTCAATACTGTTAATATATTTTCTTAATTTAATAGCATATTTTTATTTAAAAGTTTAAATAATTATATTAATTAATTATATTATATATTTTTATATTTTAGCGTCTCATTTCGCTCGGGCGAGCGCCTAGCGCCTCGGACGTTTTTGGACCTTATCGTCTTTTGGCGCCTAGCGTTTTTTAAATCACTGTACTTAACATGATGCATAAAACTATAGAAATACATAAACATTTTGCAAAGTATTAATTCTGAAAATTTTCCAAAATGGGCAGAGGTCATGTTTGATTATGGAGATAATGATAACATATTGCAATGCAGATAAAGTAATATTTCTTTTCACATCCTAATTAACTTTTGGAGCCTACATGAGAAATGACCAACCTTTGGTACTATAGGAAAAGAACACTTAATCAATGAAAATAAACCTAGAAAATCCAATAAACCAAAGAGAAGTAATTTAAATCTGGAAATTTTATTTTGCATGTTATGGGAGAAATTTCACAAAAAAAAAAATTATAGCATGATGAGACTATGCTGTATCCAAACAGACTATTAAAAAGTTTACTAATCACCTGTTCCTAAGCATGTTTTGCTTACAGAATCATCTACACTCTCCCATATATAAAAGGAATTACATTTGCCATATCAAGGTAATTGAAGGAACATATAGGTACCCAAAGTAAAATGAAGAAACTATGTTAATGACTTGAGAAATTAGAAAATACCATGCCGCCATGCCGACTTGTACTGGGCAGTACAAGCGGTACATACTACTCCGATAGGGCACCGACACATGTGCTGCCCTGTTTTGGGCACTCCATAACAGGGGACCCTGTATCACTCGATACGGGGTCTGAACCTGTTAGAACGATTTTAATCCGACCATTACCGACCTGTACCAATCGGTAACGATTGGATTTCGATCAATACCGATCAATGGTTGAGATTTGTTTAATTCAAACGGTCCATTTGACTATTTGAACCAGATCTAAGGGTTTTAAACCCTTTCTACCACCTCACTCTCTGCCTCTTTCACTCTCTATCTCATATATTCTTTTAATCACTTTCTCACTCACATATTTCTCTTATTCTCTCATTTGCACTCTTTTGAACTCCATAAAGCCATGATTTATAGATTAGATCAAGCTTGGGAAGTTAATTAGCAAGGATTAACACCTAAGTTAGAGGAATAACTCTCTAATCAAAGGTATATAGACAACTTCCCAATCGCATTCAGCAATCCACTCGGTTTGGAGATATGGTAATGATGTGGACAATAATGCCTCGACTGATGATGGTGGTGATGTCGGAGAGTCGATGGGTCCGTCTACACAGTTTGAGGGTGGTGCATAAATGGAGGAACAATATTTTACGTATATCACCTAAGATTCAGCTCATGAAGCTCGACATGATAGTTGATAATTCTTCTCTGGGCAGCAGTATGGTGATCAATCTTATGGTAGATGCTACAATCGTACTTGCCTCAGGAGTTGCCCCAAACACGTGTGGCTCACGATGATCAGACTATGACCATCACCATATTGATGCACTATGGAATCACATCCTAATTAAATATGGTAATATGCATTAAGTCAAAGCAAGAGTGTGTTCCTAACATTCTAAGGCAAAGAATGGATTTGTATATCACTCCTCTTAAGATAATATTAACTCCCAAAAATGCCTACATGCTTTGTGCAATCTCAGTAATGCTTCTACATGATAATACAACAAATAGACAGCAGCTAAATAAACTTCTCGTTGACAGAGTAAAACACATTTAACAAGAACCCAAACAAACCAAGTTAACCACCATGACCAGGTAACAAGAATCCACACAGAGGGAGCTCAGTGTTGTTACCCGATTAATTGCTAAAAAAATATTCTAAAGTAGTTATTGACAAGAATAATGGTAAAACCAACCAAACAAGATTAAGTTTCCCAGATATCAAATTTGGAATAACCTAGAAATGACTTGTTGCACAAGCAATGTACTACACAGAAGATGAAAGATAATGAAATGCATCAAGAATCTTATCAAGTATCACATAGATAAACAAGTAAAGTCTATTAAAGAAAATATATGATAAGAAACTGTGAGGAACATCCTCCGCAGGATTACCAATAGGTGAATATGGGCCAAAGGCCTACTTTCAGAGAGTCTTAGCAACACAGTTAGACACAGACCAGGTAAGAATAACCTCCTTTGGTTCTGTTTGGCTGCCTGGCTGTTAACATGAAATGTATTTTTTGTTATGGTTACAAAAACTATTTGCTTCCAGACCAAATCTTTCTACAGATTGAGGTAGAGGGCCACGGTTGGAGGATGTTTTTCGTTGTCATCTTGCTATAATTTAATATATTTTTCCAACCTAATTATTTAGCTATTATGTGATGCCCCTAAACCAAATATAACATTCTTCATTCCAATCAATAAAAAGAAGAAAAATGGCATTTTTTTCCTTCCAAATGCCTACTCGGTGCCCCCCATTCCACCTTAACCTTAAGGTCAACATCTAAAAGCAACAGAGCATTGACAGAATTTCTTGTTTCTTACTAAAAAATTGAAAGAAAACCTATGATATGTAATCATTTAAATGCTTTTCACAGTGCTACTTTATGTGTTAGCTCAAAAAAAAAAAAAAAGACAATTCACCTGGAAATTAGTAGTTTAGCAAATAAATGTCTGCCTTTGAGAATACATTGGTGAAGCGGTGTCCTTCTCCTCGAGTCAGTAGAATTTAAATTTGCACCGTATTGTAAGAGAAGCTCTATCATTCCAATATCTGCTGTCCAGCAAGCCAAGTGAAGTAGGGAAAAACCTTCAAAGCATTCATCCAACTCGTTTCTGTCCTCATTTGTGCTTGCAGAACTAAGAGAGCTCGTAGTGTAAGGCTTGTGCCAAGAATCACCTGAAAGCAGATAGTAGTTTGGTCAAGCAATGCAGTTGGCTGCTCTTGCAGAAGCACAGTGTTGGCAATAGTTAAACCTGAGTTTGTAAATGTTTGTCCATATGTAATATTGATGTCAACACTGGAAGTCACAATGTGGTGGTACACTGATTTCTTGTCATTAGCACTGACACTCTCCCACATGTGTTGTGCCACTGAAAGCTGATCTACCTCCCGTCTACAAACAAAATCCTTCTCTGCATACTGAAACCACAGAACACAACAGTTCAATATCTTAAAGGAACATAGTTAGTGCAAAGCTAATATAGGACTTTTTTTTTCAGATATCAAAATGACTCCTATACAGAAAAGTGATAATCAATACATTATAAATAAGGAAGCTCAAATCAAACATCAAATGACTTGGACAACAAAGTGAACCGTAATGGAAAAAGGTCTCTGCGAATTGTGCCAAGTTCAAACAGTATACAATCCATCTTCAGAACAAACTGTCCTCTAAAAGTTACCTATGAGGCTGATACTTATGGTAAATTTCTTGTCTTAGCTAGCCTTATCGTCAGTTGTCCTAAAACATTCAAATCTTGGATAGACCACCGCAGCATTACAAAAAGGTGAAGCACAGAGAAATTATGGAAATATTAAAAAAGTGTAATCTTAAACCAACCTATGCCACTAATATCAATAAAATTGTACAATTAAGCCTAGCTAAAGGATCTACAATTTATGTCTGAAGTACCTTTGCATGAATGAACTTCTCTTTCACTGAAATGGGATCTGAGTGCTTGGGCTTGCTAATACACATGTGCTCTTGATTTTTATCAAGCAAAATAGAACTGCACAGAAAGAATATTGAAGGAATTTCATTAACTTTCTTGTTTGTGAAAGAAATACATATATACGCAAGTACACGTGTGTATGTCTGTGTTCTCCCGCCTTCCTGTGACATAAAAAATTACCTAGTATCATCACATTTTCCATTACTTATGGATGACAATAGTTCTTCCCAGATGGAGTTGGCAAATGTGTTACCCAATGATTGAAATAGATTTATAACAGAAGGCTCCCATGCTCGCACATCAAGTGTTAGAGATCTCACCTGAAACAAATAAAACATAATTGCAGTATGCAAAAGATATGCCAAAAACTACAAATAAATTTCAAAGCATGGCTGTAAGTGATGACTTTACAGAAGTCCTAGACCAGAAGAAAAAAATTGCATTGCACATTGTACATTATTAAGAAAAAATGCATTCCATATTAACTTTCGGAGTAATATTAGCATGCATATTACTTTCTTTAAAGAAGGGTAATAGTTTACTTAATTTTGACCCGTGCAAGATAAAAATAAATTGCATAAACTGAACAAGTTTAGCAACAATACAGAACGATTATAAAATTTGAACGCTTAACTGCTATGCTAAATTTCAACTGATCAGATAAATAGAAAAAAAAAAATCTTCAGGAATCATAATGCTTTCATAACACAAGTGCTTGTCAATTAAATGCTATAACACTCCTGCAATTTTCATGCTACATATATCATTGGCAGAAATATAAGGATTTATGTAATGACAATACTGAAGCAAATAATAAGTGCTCAAGTTTTTAATTGAATTTGTATAGGGGATGTTAACTTGTTTAGTCAGTCCAAACAGAAGAATTGAAACAGAAATTAAAAAACAAAAGGAATATATGGCTGTCAACCCTGAAAAATCCCGAATCTCGAAAACCTGAATGTTAGGTTAGAGCCTATGCTTAAAGCAGGTAATGATTCAACTTTCCCAAGTTTGAGTGCACCAAACCTCATGGGAAAATCAAATTCTGTTCTTCAGAAGGTCTAGTTGAGAAAAACAAGCCTGTGCTGCAAAGGTCTAGCTAAGTCTAGCTTAGCTCAATTAATAATTTGAGTTGTATTTTTCTCCTTTTATATACTTTTTGATGTCCTCTCACATTTATTTTTGATACTTATTGCATGTCATTTTATCATCTAGTCTGAATCCTAAATAAGCTAAGAAGATCTATCTTATGGACATACCTCGTGTTTGGAAAGTTATAAAGTAATTAACATATTGATTTGGTTAGTTCTAAAGGTCTCCTTTCATAGGGTTTATGGGATTATGACTTTTCCAAGATGACACAAATTGTTATTTCACACATCTCTTAAGTTTTACTCAGGATCTAGAAATAGAAGGTCTATAAATAAAGAGCCATAGAGGTGGTTGTAATCGATCTGATTTAATGAATGATGAATGAGAATGAAATTGAAGTTCATTGGCCAAAGGATTCTGTAGGTCTCCACTCTAATCTGTCTATATTCTTCTTTTTTCTTTCATCTTTGTCTTTTGACTTTCTCCTTATTCACTGCCAAATACATATCTATTCACTGTGAAATTCAGACATGCACAAGATCAAGAAATGATGTGCTGAATGCCGACCATGCATCAGCATCTGATGAGCATGGTAAGGCACAAACCAGTGCTGATTGTGCACTGATCATTTGCCAAAAACAAAATAGTAACAAAGGATGGAAGCACCACCCATTGCATAGGCATGCACCCATATTTAGCTTGGCAGAATCCTTTTAGCATGGAAAATGCCATGCTGCAATTGCTGGCACATTGCACAAACAGCATGCTACAAGCATAATTTGAGTGGTCTAAAATAACATGACATTCTCTAAGTGAAATATGCAGCATCCTCTAATGCTTACTTTCAAAATATGCATGCCAAGATTATGGTGAACCCAATAACACCAAATGCAAAGAAACTCCCTGATGTTTAGGAACTCTGACATAGCAGTCCTTAAAAAAAAAATGCTACAAGTATAATTTGGGAAATCTAGAGGAAAATGACATTCTCTGAGTGCAACATGCAGCACCAGTTTAATGCTTACCTTAGATATATGGACCCCAAGATTACGGTGAACCCCAGAACACTCAATGCAGAGAAGCACCCCAAGGTTTAGGGATGCCCAGTCAGGTTCAGGAGCACCACATTCAGCACATACATCATTACCATGTACTTTTCTTAGGACATCAATTGGTTTCTCCTGCTTTGAGTTGACCTTATGATGTTGTGAGCTTCTACCAAAACGCCCAAAATTCCCACTAGCAAAGTTTTTCTCCAATGATAATTCATCAATTGCTAAGTGATCAGCATCGGATGAGTTACTGAATGAGCTGCTTTCACTAGCTGCATGATGATGACCTCTACCCGTAGGGCTAGTGAGGAGTTGCTGAAATTATAGAGAGAAACTATTAGATTCCTGCAATATCTGCACATGACGGGTTATATTCCATTACCAACCTGTTCAGGTGACTGAGAACTTAGAAGAGATGCGATAACCCCAGTTATTTTTTCAATCCAATCCATCTGATCCATTGCACTCTCTGCCTGCATCAATAAGCACATACCAGTTATCAGTATTTAGTAAATGATTTGATATTACTTTAATGTTAGGAGATAATAACCTAGCAAAACTATGTTACAAAATAAATCGAACAAAAAAACCCTCCATGTTAAAACCATTTATTTAAATGTCATAATTACCATGAAATGCATGTTTCCATTTGAAGTAATTTAATGTCTACCTGCAAAGTGTAGGTCTTTGATGGAGAAATAATTCTGAAACAAAAACGCAAATCTGACTGGTCTGCATCAATTTTTATTGTTGATGTCAGCAAATTTACAGTATGACGTGCAACGGAATTCTCATCATGGACACCACCATGATAATGAGAAGAGAACCACCGGCTCAGCAATCCAGAACCATGTTCGAAGTGACCCTTTTCACTAGAATGGATACTTCCCTAGAGCAATAAGCCAGGTTCAAAAAATAAATTAGTTGACAGAAAGCTCTTTCATAAAGTTCTTCGAATAAATGCATATGTAAGTATTAAACCTACAGAAGGTCTGCTCCACTGCTTGCGGTAATAGTACAGCATTCCTTGACTATCAAGAACAAAGAATCTTCTCTTCCAATCACCTCTCAAATTTGATGATCGCTTGGATAGATAACCTTGACGAATTGTTTGAACCTGAAAATAAGTTAAAACTTGGAAGCTTAAATATGGTATCAAATGAAGATGCAAGATCTTATAACATCCTCAAATGAGAGTCACAAATGTGGAACTGGAGATAATGTTACCTTTCCCTTAGCAGATGATTGCATCACTGTCTCAATCATCTTATGAGAACTTCTGCCAATAGCCTGTATACCATCTCCATTAGCAGAATCCTTTGACCCATTTGGAGACCACCGACTTTCCCGGTCAATCTGTCTTTTGAACTCTTGCATCCTCTCTATTAGAGCTGCTTGCTCATAGTTAGATCGTTCCCTTGATTGTTGTGCATAAGTCAGAACCTTTAAACAGCAAATGCATGTGTATGAGAATTTTCATTGCAGATAATTGTATAACAGATCAAGGTTCGCCGTACCGTACCGTACCGGCGTTTCGACCCGGGCTCGGTACCGGTACGGTACGGTATACCGCTCGGTATACCCAGGTGTACCGAGCGGTACACTCAGGTGTACCGAGCACTGTAGCAGTGCTACNGTGCAGTG